GTTTTCATGAATGCCGCTCGAAGAGGCACACAACACTACATTAGGAATAAGCACGGTAAAAACTGTGACATGGAAGACATGATAGAAGGAGATAGGAAATGTGAGTAGGCCAGGGCAGAAGTTGCGAAAACAAGGTCAAACAACTTCTATGCGATATTATAGCCTAATAAGAACTTGCAATTTAGGAAAAAGCAATAGATATGTTTTATACTAACTTAATAGGCATGATAAAATATATTTTGAAAAAGTTGCGGCTGTGGGCGAACATTATGTTCTGCTTATATCCAGTAAGTAAAAACAAGAAAATCAAATTCAACCAACTACCTTAAACATTAATAGACATTCAAATAAAGAAAAAAAATGAACGATTACGTTTAGTGATGTCCTAGATTGACCAGCTGCTGTAGATATAGGAGTATTTCCACGTGCATTACCAGAATTGAATAGCCCCATCCTCTTGCCAGCTTTCATTCCAGATGGTTTGACATGTGAGGCCTTGGCTGATAATTCGTCCAAAGATGAAGCCTGCGATGGTTTCCAGACGTCTAAAGCACTGCTTCCCAGGCCAGAGATAAGCGAACTGTCGGTCTTTACGGTGGTGGAACGAGACTAAACAGAATAAGAAATATAAATTTCGTTAGGAAAATGAGAACAAAAGAAAACACAATGATGTTGGAATACCTTTCAACTCGTTTGTAGAGGCGAATGGAAGGGATTTGTAAGTTGGTTCCACCGGAAGCCTTGGAGCTGTTACTGTAAATTTGTGCGAATAGGACCTCGGCGCATCGCCCTGCGACCCCGATGAATCCTTGCTGAGCCAAATTACGAATCCCTTCCACTCGCCCCTTCAAACCAAATAAAAAAACGTCAACATCAATCTATTAAGGGATTCTTTGAAACCCAGTTTTTCTACATAAAAGAAAACACATTTCATATATCTGATTTACTGGTAGTCTCGAGACTCTACTTAAAAGCAACAAATAAGTAATGTAGTCGATTGCTATGGCAAATATAGCTTTGCTTCATTGAAAATCCCACCACAGGTGATATGGGAAAATGTTTGGCCTTCAATGAAATTCACATCTGCCCTGTGATCCAAAGGTACTGGCGGCAATGTGGCGTAGTGGCTAACGTGTCGAGATTATAAACTGAACTGCCGTAGTTCCAGTCCCGCTAGGGATGCTGATGAGACCTAGGCGAGTTCGAAACTGCAGTCCACTCCTGACTGGATGAAAATACTGTTTGGAAAGCAAGACTATCTGAAATTCAATGGAAACTCAAGATCTACTCATATAATTGTAGAAAAATTTAGCTATCAATCGCCTTATCATCTTAAACGAAATAAGATTAACACGTTTCATATAAAAGAAAACAAAGTTAACCAAGCAATTCAATTCAAATATTTTGGCTTAACTATGAGGGGGCGAGAAATATTACACCATAGAATAATATAGTTATGCAGGCTTAGAGCTGCAAGAGCATGTGGATGGTTTTTAGACATGCCAAAACCTTAGCAAGCCGTTTCATGTTCAAATAACGTCTTATGTATGGGTAAGCAGGTCTCCCACACATAGTCGCTAGAAAATGGACATAAAACCGTTTATCAATATGATTTGGAGAATGGGCCCCGAAAAAATGGGACATCGTGATAATGTGTAAGGAGGAAATAACACTTTTCTCAGTAATGCCATCTATTAGGGAACTTTAGGACCTACTCTCCAAATCGAACGGCTATAAGGTTTAACCGACTATATTGAAGATGTGAAGACCAAGATGTTGTGACCTCGGGTATGGTCGCAGTCTCCTTTCGACTTATTTAAGTGGGTTGACCTCGTTGTCGCAACTTGGTCTTGTGTTCAGGGAGACTATGTAGAACGCACCGAGTCCGAAGTCGTCTGCCATAGTTGTCTTGATTCCTAGCATCCGACCA